CATTCGAGAAACGTTTGTGTGTGTGTGTGTGCGTGTGTGTGCGTGCGTGTGCGTGTGTGTGAGTGTGTTTGTTAATTTATGCAAAGAGATAAAAATGTAGTCCATAAATGCGCAGGTGGTGGTGTGGAGAATATTAATTTATTTCTGATTTATTTGCACGTTGGAGCGTGTGTACATATGCAATTATGTTTGTATGTATGTTTGTGTGTGTGTGTACGTGTGTGTGTGTACGTGTGTGTGTGTGAATGCCAAAAAACGGTATACGTATCTGCCCACATGGTTTATGGGTCCATCTGTGATGGAGACTCGTGTGTTGGGAAGCTGTATTAATATCTCTGCCGACGATGACGATGATGATGATGACGATGATGATGATGGCTCTGTTGTTGTTGATGGTGGTGGTGACTGACAATTACTATATCTACGGATTCCATTCATAAGTCATGCCCACTCAAGTCATCTCTCTCTCTCTTCTTGTTTTTTTCTCTTTTCTTTCTTTTTTTCTCTCTCTCTCTCTCTCTCTCTCTCTCTCTCTCCTCCTCTCCACCTCTTACCATCCGTCAATTTTCAACGAGTGCAAATTCAAAGTTAAATATTTGCACGCCAAAACAAATTTAATTATTTTAATTACTGCCATTAGTATCTTTGGTACTTCATCCATCATCATTATCATGCCTGCCTACCTACCTACCTACCTACCTACCTACCTACCTACCTACCTACCCACCTACCTACCCACCTACCTATCTACCTACCTACCTACCTACCCACCCACCCACCCACCTACCTACCTACCTACCCACTCACCCACCTACCTACCTACCTACCTACCTACCCACCCACCTACCTACCTACCTACCTACCAACCTACCTACCTACCTACCCACCTACCTACCTACCTACCCACCCACCTACCTACCTACCTACCAACCTACCTACCTACCTACCCACCTACCTATCTACCTACCTACCCACCTACCCACCTACCTGCCAACCAACACATCACGTAATCAGCAGCAGCAATCTTAATTTATAAATTTTATGTTTCGAGAAAAATCTCGTCATTCATCATTATCATCATCATCATCTCACTTACACATACACGCACACACGCACACACACGCACACACACCAACTTACGTATAATTCTTTGGTAGATTTTAGAACTATAAATACTTAACTTTCATTCAAAAATAGACGACGGATTCTTCAAAAAACTCACATGCCTGCCTACATATACATACTTACAAACATTAAAAACAGACAGACAGACATATAGACAAACACACAGAGAGACAAGCAGACAGACAAACATGTAGATAGACAAAGAAACAGTGTCGGTTAGAACAATAGGAAGATAGAATTTATTCCTATTAATTAAACAACTTCTCAATGGCCATGTGCAGATATATATACACAGGATGATGACAATACATGACGATGACGATGTTGCTACTACTGCTGCTGGCGCTGCTGATGAAAAAAAGAAGCTGTGGAGGTTGTAGCGGCGATAAGATCGTTCGAAATTGGAATGTTATCTTGAGAGCAATAATTATGCACCGACTAAAATGTGGAACAGGAAAAAAATAATGATAATAAACTCATGGAAGGACGCTGGTGACGCATGCGACTGCAGTTCTCCACAGCGGACCATTGAAACAAATCGTGAAATGTTTGTCATTGGTCTTTCAATCATTCACTCTCTCATCCATCCATCCATCAATCAATCAATCAATCAATCAATCAATCAATCAATCAATCAATCAATCAATCAATCAATCAATCAATCAATCAATCAATCAATCAATCAATCAATCAATCAATCAATCAATCAATCAATCAATCAATCAATCAATCAATCAATCAATCAATCAATCAATCAATCAATCAATCAATCAATCAATCAATCAATCAATCAATCAATCAATCAATCAATCAATCAATCAATCAATCAATCATTCATTCATTCATTCATTCATTCATTCATTCATTCATTCATTCTTTAAATTT